CCCGTGTGTGTCAGAGTAGAACTGTGCTCCACAGGGTTCTCAGTGGATGATGTTTCATAAGTAGATTCCACTCATGGTGCCCCAGTGTGTGTCAGAGTAGAACTGTGCCCACAGGGTTCTCAGTGATGATGTTTCATAAGTAGATCACCAGGATTTTCTTATGAGGTGCCTTAAGGTGAGCTTGAAGCTCCAACCTTTTTGGTCATTGGCCACCGAGTGCTGCTGCCCAGCTGATTGTGACTGACGGTGATCCCATGTGTGTCAGGGTACAACTGCCCTCCACTGGGCTTTCTGCACCGTCAGCTGTAATCTTTATGGAAAGAACCCAGGTGACACAATGGTTAAAGCACTGGGCTTCTAACCATAAGATCAGTGGTTCATATCCACCACCTGTCCACAGGAAAACAAAGTCTGCCTCTTTAAAGATGGGGAGTCTTGGAAGCCCTGTGGGGAGCAGTCGTACTGTGTCTTACAGGGTTGCTTGGAGTAATAATCCACAGCAGCATATTTGACATTTTGGTGGTGGTGGTGGGGTGTTGATATTTTACAGAAACAGATTGCCAGGACTTTTTTTCCGCAGTACTGTCGGATGGTTTGAAAAGGCCAACTTTTAGGATTAGCCACTGAGCGTGTCACCACTTGTACCCCTCCTACATAAACCCCACGCATCCAGAAATGATACCATGTTGACAGGTATTCTATAAAGGGGCAATACGATTCAATGACTATATTTATCAAGCTGTTTCTCGGGTGAGCTCTTTCTCTCTCTCTTTTTAAGGTTCTTATTGGGGATTGAGTGAAAGTTTACAAGACAAATCATCAGTTTTACATTCAACAAATCATATACCTTGTTTCATTACAATTATTATAATCCCCTCCATGTACCATCAGTTAATAGTATTTTACTTTAGCTCTTTTTAAAAAAACATAAAACACCCAGGCATATATAATCATTTAAACCACCAAAGAACACATTCTACAAGCCTGCCTCCTGGCCTCCAGCTCTCAGTCCCTCTCTTTCCATGAGTCTAGAGTCCTCAGCTGCTCCCTCTCTCCATGTCTCCATCTCTGCCTCCATCTTTGATGTTGCTTCTTCTCTGGATTGGGTACCACATTCTGCTCCTGCTCTTCCCTCTTGATGGTCCTAGGGTCCTCTGTTTCTGGACTATAAGATTAACCACTCCCCTGTTTTTGTTACAAAACTTCTACCTTTACAATTGTGACAGTCGCCATTAGTCATGATAACAATTACTTGCTATTGAGTCATAAGAATCATTTATCCCCATCTCTTTTCACCAGACCCATGTAGACAAGATGAAAATTATTCAGTGGGGACTCTTATCTTCCCCCACACACTATTAAACTAAACACCCTCTTGAAACCTTGTAAGCCAGTCACTTCTTGCCTTTATCACCCCCTCATTTTAGGAAGCCAATGTCTAACTTGCCCGTCCCTATCTACCCTGTGTACAGAGGAGATAGCATTGACACTTGATGTGAACACTCCTTCCCTCTCTCTTGGTATTTTGAGCTACTACCTCCATGAGTATAGGTCAAGTTCATTAAGTTGTAGCAATTTAGCCTTGTTTCCTTCTTGGGCAGGCTCTCTTGACATACAAAGCATGTGCAGTTATTGGTCAGCACACCCCAGGAGAGGCAGAAGATTCTGCAGGCCCAGGTGGCCCAAGCTGCCTGGACATGGCAGAGCAGGTATGTGAAGCCAGCAGACAGCTGACCTCCTCCTTGGGTCTTTGTTTTCCCCCTGCCCCCTGCCAAAGATGGACTCTCTCTTACCTTGG